GGTTATGCCTGGTTGTGTTTTGTTAATGTGCATGGGAGTGGATTGTTTCTTTTTAAAATCCTTTAATCATTTATAGTTTCTCTAAGTATAACCTGATTCCGGATTAAATCCAATGTTAGTCCCAACTTGACTAAACTGATTAAAATACTGAGGATGTTTCATTTGATTTCAGTGTGGGTGAACTATCACTGGATTCAGCACTTCAATTTACCCCTTTTAAAACTGTGAGTTTTAATGCTGCATTGGAGCAGAGTTTTTAACCAGATAATCAATACATTCTGACACAGTTCCTTAATTATAGAATATAGCATTTAAAAATGGAAGAAGAAATTGTGCATATTAAGTGAATCTTATGAAAAATGTTGGTTTGCAACAGGAAGAAAAAGAAGGAAAACACATTAATAATAGATAAGTCTAGATAGGAGTCCCTGGTAGTGCAATGGGCTAAATCCTTGTACCGGCAGGACTGAAGACCAGCAGGTCAGAGGTTCAAATCCGGGGAGATGATCTCCTTTTGTCAGCTCCATCTCCCCATGCGGGGACATGAGAGAAGCCTCCCACAAGGATGGTAAAACATCCAGGCATTCCCTGGGTAACGTCCTTGCAGACAGCCAATTGTCTCACTCCTGACATATGAAAAAAAAATATCTAGAGATAATGTATTTCATTTCTTGATTTGTTTGAAACAGTAAGTGGAAATCTGGCTAAGTGGGTGTGAAGCTTTTGCATCTTCTCTCGTTGTATCATGATATGTACATACTGTGTAAAAGACAGGTAATTATAGATGATACCATCAGCCAGTTGTCTTGCTCCTAATTTATAAAGTTTGAGTTTTGACCTTACATGTGTTAAATGGCTACTGTTTCCCTCATCCTTCACCACTGATCAGACTACCCTTATTAAAACATTCCCAAAAGGTCTACCTGAAGAACCAGAACACACTAATAGATTATCTGCTCTGTTCTCCAACCTGTCTAAGAGCCTTAAAATTTAATATCCTGACTCCGACTCAAGCAGACTCATCGGATCAATGGAATTTACATCAGCGTTAACTTACTGCATTTCCATTACATGACTAGGCCCACTCTTATTGTGTTTCACATTTGGGTTTGGGTCATTAATTTAAAATCTGGCAGAAATTACTTTTTGGAAACTACTGTCTTATGCAAGCAGAGTAAACATTCTGTTTAAAGTGTCAAAGGTAAGGAGTTTCTGAATCATTTTGAAACATGTGGTTGCAACTTCTGAAATACTTTCAAGATTGAAACTGGAACACAGGTTAGCATTTCCATCTCAGTGCCTGCAATTTGCATCATCTCTAGAAAGAAAGCATTAACTGTCCATCTTGTAATGTACATATCGAAAATGCATGAATTAAATGTCATGCCACATGTCAGTTTTGGTTGAGGTGCTGGAGAAACTTTTCTTAATTTTCTTCCTTGTTTGCAAGAAATGGTTTTCCCCATTTCAAAATAAACCAGCTGTATAGCACATGTAGGTGCTCCCCCTAGGTATTTGTGGGAGTTTCTTGACATTTTAAATGCAGAATTTAATTTGAGCAAGGTCTGCAAGGAGATTCCTATGCAAACAGTTCACAGATTTAGATGACTTACATGTGCTCATTATTATCTTTCTTACTGAAACTTATTATTAATTCCGAATATCCTGTTATTACTCTACACATTTTGAGTGTGTTTAAGCAAAAGAAAATAGAGTTAAATTTTATTTATATTTATTTACTTGTAGAATTATTTTGTGCAAACTGGCAGTCTCGAGAGCTCAGTAAAGTTACTTTTTGGACTACTGCTTCCAACCTGTATGTCAAGTAGTCATACTGTCTGAAGGATTCTGCAAGTTATACCCAAAAGAATGATTTTACTTAACTCTGAAACTTTGGTCTAGGTCCTATTGTTAGTCTTAGTTAGATGAGAACCCTTGAATCTACTGGACCTACCTTTATGTTGACTCACCAATCAACAGTTAATTAAATGAGACTAATCTGGACTCTAAACAGGACTCTAGGCACAGCATGCTGCAAGTATGGAATATCTCAGCACTTTAGTGTGGGAAGTTTTAGTGTTTATTTGCATACAGAAAGATGGTCATTGAAGTAATTAAGAAGTTGCCTGGTATAGTGGCTGCAATGATATTTAGAGGAAGATGACCTGGCTTCAGTTATTTGCCCACAGGTAACATCCAAAGTAAGCCAGTGTAGACTATGTGGAGATGCCTTCAAAGATATTTGGAAGTTTTCATTGAAACATAAGGTAGCATTTTGGGACTGGACTCAGCTGATCAGGTGAGGGAGGGAAATTTATTTTCACAAAATAATTGTTATATATTCCAGTTAATCTCCAGTCAACTTTAAAATTGAACTTTGAAATTGATACCATATTTCTTCAGAATTGAGGATAGCATCTGGATTTTGTTTTCACTCCATGAATCAAAGGGAAGACAATTAATTGATAACCCCCCCAAATAATATTTTGATTAGCAAACTAGCTAAATGTGAACTAGATGGGTATGATGTCAGATGGATGCATGACTAGTTGGAAAATAGTACTCAAAAGAGTTGTCAGTGACTGTGATTCAAACTAGGAGGAGGTCTTGAGCCTTTGGATTCTATACTAGGGCCATTGCTCTTCAACATTTTCACCAACAATGTAGATGATGGAATGGAGGAAATCCTTTTCAAGTTTGATGATTATGCGAAACTAGGAGGCATGCCTAACACATTGGAAGATCATAGGGTTAGAATTCAAAAGTACCCAGATAAACTGGGAAATTGAGTAGAAATTCATTAAATGAAATTCAGTAAGACAGCTACAAAATTATATATTTAGGCCACAAAACCCAAATGCACGGGTATAGGACATGGGATACATGGCTCAGCAGTGCTACATGTGAAAAGGACCTTGGAATTACTGTTGATCATAATTTAACATGAGTTATTAGTATGATTCTGCAACAAGGAAGGACGAATACTGTTTTAATAGAATACTACTTTAATAGAAGCATGGTTTCCAAGATTAAGGAAGCTATAGTCCCACTGTATTATTTTCTGGTTAGGCCTCATCTGATTTTTTTTAATGAAGGATTTAGATAAGTTAGAGCTGGTTCAGAGAAGGGCAATGAGATTGATAAACATTATGATGAACAAAACATATGAGGAAACATTAAAGGAGTTCAGTATGTTCAGTCTGATGAAGACATGGCTGAAGGGTAACATGATTGTGCTCAAGAGCTGTCACAGGGAGGAGGAACAGGTCTGTTCTTTGCTACCCTTGAGGTAGGAGAATAATAATAATAATAATAATAATAATAATAATAATAATAAATTTTATTTATTATCTGCCTCTTCTAATGGCTTGAGACAAAATACAACAAATTCAAAAACAAATGAACATAAAAATACAATAAATTACATAAATAAACACACACACACATACGAAAACTTATACCAATAGCAGATTCACAGAGTAGATTTTTCTTAAAGGAACATCTTGACAGTAAGTGCACTTTGGTAATGGAAGCTGGACAAGTGAGTTGGTCTAGATGCCCCATGTGTCCCCTTCCAACACTATGACAACAAACCATAAATGGAAGCTCCTTTTGTACATAAAGCAGATTTTGGATACCTCCAATATTATTTTGGAAAATGATCATACACAAAAGTTAGGATGTAGAAACTTTAGCTTTTGTTTCTGTCAGTCTGCTACTGAGCACAATTCCAGGTGCTGTCTTTAGCCTATAAAGTCCTAAATAGTTCTGGCCCAGCTTATCTGTTTGAACATATCTCCCCCTATGAACCACCTCGGAGATTAAGATTGTCTGGGGAGGCCCTGCGCTTGGTCCCATCTACCTCGCAAGTGCGATTGGTGGGTATGAGAGACAGGGCCTTATCAGTGGTGGCCCCTTGGCTGTGGAATTCCCTCCCTATTGACATTAGCTCAGCCCCCTCCCTCCTAGCCTTCAGAAGAAAAGTCAAAACCTGTCTTTGGGATCAGGCTTTTGGAGAATAGTGCAGTGCAATAACAGATGTGGAACATGTGCAATGACTACGGAACATCTTTGGACTATGATTATGGATGGCATGATTTATATTGAATGTAATGTTTTTAATTGTTTTAAATGCTTAATATGTATTAATTTTAATTTTAATTTTACTGGAATTGTATGTGTTTTAAGATATTGAATAATAATGTAAGCCGCCTTGAGTAGAAAAAGGCGGAGTATCAATAGGGTAAATAAATAATAAATAAACTCAGATTAAAGTTTATTTATGGTAGTCTCACAATTATTAAAAAAATATGCCAGCAAAATTTAATGAGCTTTCTATGGGAGTATAATTTGATATCTTTGTGTAAAATGCAGACTCTGTATAAAAATATTGTTATTTATAGAATATGCTGTCCTCACTAATGGAATGGACATCTTCTCTTGAGAAACTATTTTGGCAAAATGTGTCGTTCTCTGACAGGAAGAGCTGCCCTTCTTGTGTTTGAAACTTACTGGGTTCCTCATAAAAATACAACCCTACAAACACTTTATGGAGAGAGAATTATTGGACGGATTCTAAGAATACCTTTTAAAAGTATTTCTTTTTAATAGCTTTGATTATAAGCCCGTGCAAGAGACATGGCTACAATCTTGCATCCCTTTAGGAGTGCATAGGTTCCATTAATTTAACTAAGGCACATATAAATAAACTTGGGATAGCAGCTGCTGTGTTCAATTTCTGTAATACACCATAGACAAAGTATTCCTCATGGGATTTTGATAATTTTAGAACGGACTGCCATGTGGCTATGCATTTACTGCTTTTGAAACAGTGGGTAAATATTATACACTGTATTCTGATTTTAAGTCCGCTAAGAATTAGTCGCAATAGAAGCTTTCTCTTTTTGTGTAATTATTCAGCAACCAGTTTCTATATGAGTTCATATTTCTATATTGTTAATGAAAATGTTTCTCTGTTTTTGCATTTCTTTTTCTTTTAGATTACAGAATAGAAGAGAAAAATGTGTCAGTGGAAGTCACCATAAAGTAAGTAATTTTCTTCAGTTTCTACTACTGTATGTTGATATTGTTCACTGGCATTCCTCTACCTTATGTTTCAAAATTAAGCAAATACATGTAATTATTTTCTTCATAATCGAAACGGCATATTTTTGTTGCAGTCATGAAGTTTCAAAATGAAACTTCATGAGAAAAAAAATGTATTCCAGTCGCAGATGACAAAAATTAAGAACTCGTCTTATAGAATACTGTTGCTGCTGTACATAGATTAGATTTGGCAGAAATACAGATTCGGTTTAGGTGCAAACCCATAGAATCATAGAGTTGGAAGAGACCTCATGGGCCATCCAGTTCAACCCCCTGCCAAGAAGCAGGAAAATGGCATTCAAAGCACCCCTGACAGATGGCCATCCAGCCTCTGTTTAAAAGCCTTCCAAAGAAGGAGCCTCACACACTCCGGGGCAGAGAGTTCCACTGCTGAACAGCTCTCACAGTCAGGAAGTTTCTTCCTAATGTTCAGATGGAATCTCCATATTTGTGTAAACATACAAATAGGTTTAAGGAATTGTGTCCCGTTTGCAGTTAAAAGTCGACCTTGGTGTCCTGTCTAAGTTAAAAAGTACAATGGCAGCCAATAATCCTCATATTAATCATGGCAATCTATGATTCTTTTTTTGCAAGCTGAAATGCATTTCAAGATAACTACTATAAAGAGTTCCTCTGTGTATTTAAATATGGGGATCCTGGTATAATCTTTACTTTCTTTGTACAGTGAAGAAGGTAAGAGGAGGTAGCACATTAGTAGTTCCTCCCAGTATCAAAGAGCCACATCAGAATATCTTTCCATCTATCTGACATTGCAAACTGTGTGGTCCTCCAGATGTTGCACCACAGCTTCTGCGATCCTTCACTGTTGGTTGTGCTGGCTTGTGTTGATGTGACTGGCAGCAGCATTCAATATGAATCTCTTCCTCATCACTTGTTAGCTGATCCTTATGACTGGAGATGCCTGAAATTTCTGCATTCAAAGCGTGGCTTCCAAGCAGGGCTGTGTGCCTTTCCCTGTGGGTGGCAGAAGATTAGGAAGGGCCATAGCTGACATATTATCTCAAAGGCCATTTATTTAATTTATTGGACCAATATCCCATCTTTCTCCAAAAACTGGGTCCTGGGGTTGTTCACAACAGGTACAAATAAAAACACAAATACACATTAAAATACCAACAAACTGTGATGTTAAAACATAACTGCATTAAAAACAGTAATGAATGAAATAAAATACAGCATCTCTGTGTATCAGCAGCAGCATCTTCCAGATATACTTGAATAAAATGTCTTTGCCTTCTGTCCAACAGACAGGGATCACATCTCTTGCTACCATCTGAATAATAAATAAGTTGGCAGAAGTTGAATTCCCAGCTTCTTGTAAAGAGTTAAAGATGTGACTGCAGCTAGGATCATTTATGTTGGTATTTGTAACATTCTAGGTGTAGCAGCAGATTTGTTTTTTGCAGTACAAAATTAGTCCAGTTTTGTTTTTATATACAATCACTGAACTGTTCATAGTTGCTTCTGAAAAGTTATTTGGAAAGCTCACCCTTGACTTAATCAGCTGTTTCCAATATATTTACTGAAGTACAGGGACTTCAGGCCAAAGATCCCCCACAGTTTTTCTTTTCTTTTTGGCAACAACATCTTGTACTGCCTGGAAAACTGTTTCTCAAATATCCCCCAACTTTCAAAAGCATGTTGTCAATAGAGAGGTGAGACTGCTGTCGGGGAAAAAAAGGACTTTCAGAAACCACATTATAGTCTCCTAGGTTACTGTTTCCAGAAGCTTAGTCATTCAGTGAGGAAATAAAAACTCAGCAAAACAATATGGAAGATGTTCTATCTTGTTAAGAAACCCAGTGGTACTCAATGTATGTTGCTTCACTCTTTGTAATAATGGTTTCTCCCATGAACAATACAATCTTATTTCACCAAATGTATGCTACATAAGGGCACCCTGGTGGCACAGCAGGTTAAACCGCTGAGCTGCTGAACTTGCTAACTGAAAGGTCAGTAGTTTGAATCTGAGGAGTGGGGTGAGCTAACACTATGAGCCCCAGCTTTTGCCAACCTAGCAGTTTGAAAACATGCAAATGTGAGTAGATCAATAGGTACCGCTTCAGTGGGAAGGTAACAGTGCTCCATGCAGTCATGCTGGTCACATGACCTTGGAGGTGTCTAAGGATAATGCTGGCTCTTCAGCTTAGAAATTGAGATGGGTACCCCCCCCCTCGAGTTGCACACAACTAGACTTAATGTCAGGGAAACCTTTACCTTTACCTTATTCCACATAAATATTTGGGCATAAAACCAATAGCTAGCTATAGCTTGAGTAGACCCGTTGAATCAATTTCTGGATGATAAATTGACATTTAACAGAATTAAAAAGCTGGGTGTCCACCTAGATCAGTAGTTCCCAACCTTTAGGCCTCCAGGTGTTTTGAACTTTAGCTCCCACAGTTCCTAACATGGCTTGGATTTCTAGGAGTTCAAGTCCAAAACCCCTGGAGGCCCAAAGGTTGGGAACTACTGATGTAGATCACTAGTGGGGAAACTTTACCCTCCTATGTTTTGGATTACAACCTCTGTAGACCCAACTATTGGTCATGCTTGGTTGGGCTGTTGCAAGTTGTATGCAAGTTGTAGGCAAGTTGGAAGCCCAACTGTTCCTTCCCTAGATTATATCCCTTCATCTGGCAATCTGTACAGAACACATTGGGAACAACTTAGCAATGCATAGTGAAAGCTATGCGGAGTTCTCAATATTTACTGGGGCTAGGGGCATAGGACCTTTGTGAAAGTGACAAATTATGAATACTGAAATTACTAAAAAAAAATTCCTGAGAGAACACCTCTCAATGAATTTCTAGGTCTTCTAGACTCTGTGGTTGAATTCCAGTGGAAGCTGACCATAGAATCTCACTGGAGATTCCTTGAGAGGTGTTAGCTCTAGAAATCTTTAAGTCCTCCAGCAAGACTGGAGGAAGTTGACGACTGGAGGACCTAGAGAGTCCTGGAGAGAAAATCTTAATCAAATCTGTGAATAATCAAATTCTCAGAAGTCAAAACTGTAAATGTGGGGGGGACCATTGTAATTCTACTTCTAATTTAAGTGAGATATAACCAAATGGATATTACAGGAAACAGAGTTCTGCCCATTTTTTGTATTGAAGTTCCATTAACATTGACAAGACTATGATAAATATTCTATTTAGCATGATTTTTCTTTGATGTGTCCTAATGTTTTAACATTCATATTTTTGAAATCAGGAAAACCTTGAAACAAAATTGCGCGAACAAAATAGTTTTGTTTTTGAAATAGTTTTTTTTTACCAGATTATATAAATGTTGTTCTATCAGTATATCTGGAAAGTAGCTGATTTATGGCTTGGAGTGATCTTTAGGAAAGGTATTCTTTTATCTCTTAAGAAACATGTGGGATTCCTTTTCTTTCCGCCTTTCTTATAAGAGTTTGGCACCTAGGAAGTATCAGAGCTCTCTCGTTTGACCTTAAAAATGAATGTAAAGTCAGTAAGATAGGTAATTCCTGATCAAATTATTTGATATTTTTAGGTCAGCAGTAGTTTTTAAAATGTGCTCTAAAGCAGGGCTTCTTAATTTTTTTCACTCACGATCCCTTTCTGCCTGATAATTTTTTACATGATCCCAGGGGTAGAGGTATAGAAAATATGTATAAAGTCAAACATTTAATGATAGTAAGTCAGCATTTGCAAGTCTTGCTAAACAGGCTGATTTTCCTTTTTATGAAGTACAACTGGAGCAGTTTCTGCAGAGTCCATTGTAAACACTTTATTGCAGTGCTTACAGATTTGTTCAGAAATATTTTACTGTAGCCAAAATTTTTGTGACCTCAACATTCAGCTAAGGCAGTAATTCTCAACCTGTGGGTCCCCAGGTGTTTTGGCTTTCAACTCCCAAAAGTCCTAACAGCTGGTAAACTGGCTGCGATTTCTGGAAGTTGAAGGCCAAAACATGTGATGACCGAGAGGTTGAGAACCACTCAGCTAAGGGGACCCTAATTGGAATCGGGACCCACAGTTGCAGTGCTTGGAAGCAAAGAAGGCAGAATAGATTTTGGATCACTCTATTTTGGCCTTGACTTTGTGGCCATACTGCCATAAATGACAGATTCTGTCTTTAAAAGCGCGATTCTGTAATGTCTTTTACAAGTAAGTCTCATTTTGTACAGTGGTGCCTATTTCTGACTGAGTGAGTACAGGAATGCAGCATATCAGGGCAAAGATATGATTATGATAATCCACCCTGAATATAAATAAAGAAGTTGTTGTTGTTGTTGTTGTTGTTGTTGTTGTTGTTGTTATTATTATTATTATTGTTGTTATTATCTATTCAGAGTAAGCCTTATTGGATTCAGTGGCATCTACACACAGTGTGAGAAGACAGTAGTCTAAAGTATATAAAAGATAAGCAGGGTAGCTTCTCTTCTCCTTTAGTGCTATGCTGCTTGGTTGATGCTTTGTAAATATTGTTTGAAGTGTAGTTGCAATGGTTGATGGATTGTGGCAGCCAAGTGTAGAAAAGCATATGTGCCAGTATGAGCTAGGGCAGCAAAATACGAACCAAAGAGTTGTTCTGGATCCCATGAGCTTTTCGTCTGTGCCAATATCTAATCTGAAACCTTGGAGAGCTACTCTCAGTCACTGGTGACAATGCTGGACTACACAAACCAGTGGCCTGATCGGATACAAGCCAGCTGCCTGTCTTCCTGTAAGAAAGAATAAGCAAGAGAGCATTACTTAGTTGAATGGTGTTTGTGCTTAGATGCCCTTTGTGGAATAACAATGGAACCAAGTATCTTTAAATACTGTTAGACCTTGGACAATTTCTTTTTTTCCCTTCCTAATTACAGCTCACTGAATCTCTTAGCCAGCAGGAGCCATGGGCCATACTGGCTGAGGAATGTTAGGAGTCCTAATCCAAAAAGGCAGCCTTCC